GGGGGGGCGAGAGGGGAGGCGAGAGGGACCGTTCCAGGTACCGAACAAAAGATGAGCAAGTGACGGGCGTTCGCCGGGTCCGGCCCCGCAGCGGATGGAGGGATTAGCATCTCTCCACGAAATCGCAGCCGGCAAAGTTTTCCGGGCGATGCTGCTAATTGCGTTTGCAGCTTTGGAGCTGGGGGGGGGTGGGGGGTGTGTTTGGATGGAAAGTCCTTCACCGGGTACCAGCCGGCACCGATGGCGGTGGGTTTGGCACGGGTTGTTTATTACCAGCGCGCCGGACAGGAGCATCTGTCACTCCTTGGGCACAGGCGTGGGAGGGCTTCGTGCTCCAATGGGTGCTGAGGATTTGGGGTTGTCTTTCCGTGGGATAAAAGGGGACTTGGTTAAAAACAAACCTCTCGGGACAGCAGCGGCTCCTCAGCCCGGGCAGGGTGGGCGCAGGCAGCGGGCATCTCTACCTGACGTGCCAGGGAGTCCTCCGGCCGCCGGCTTTGGGTGCAAAAGCGGCTGGAGAGCGTTTTCCTGACCTGGAGGTGGCTTTTCCAGAGCACGGACAGGTTTACGTGGCTTGGCCAGGCTCACTGCTCCCTTTCTGCGCCCGTCAAACCCCAGCCCCTCCGCTCCACTCGAGCTGGACCAGCTTCGGGCTGCGGACGCTTTCCCTACCGCACAGCGGCCCAAAGCCCAGCGGAACTCATGTTTTCTGTAGGGTTGGCCTTGGCTACTCTGTATGTAAGAGCCAGCGGTGGCTTCCAGGAGGCTCCTTCAGGCACCTTGGCCAAGCCTTGCACGGGCAAGCAAGAGGGATGCTCGTCCTCTACAATGTGTTCAGCGCAGGATAGCACCTTGGGGCAAGCCTGGAAGGGGGCTGGGGGTGATGGGGGATCCAAGGGGGTTGGAGCAATGGGGAAACTCACGTGGTGCCAAATTTCCAGCCCCTCCGGACAGCTGGCTCGTGCCAGGAGGGCTCAACTCTTTCTTTTCCACCCAAAAGAGGGTGGCAACGTGCAAACCACCCCTGTGGATTGCTGTGGCTTTGCTAACTCCTGACTCTACCCTGGGGTGGTTTGGGGTAAAACCACGTCCCAAAACCCCGCCAGGCCCTGTGTGGGAGGTTTAACAGCAGCAGGACGGTGTTCAGAGCTGGTTTACCAGGGTTTGCACGGCCTTTTACACCCCATGTCTCATGTGTTTGAGGCGGATTTGCCTCTGACCTTGCTCATCACCTCCGCTGGCTGCTCTCCACAAGCGTCCCGTTGTGATGGCACCGGTCCTCAGCCGCGTGTCGGGATCACTGGACGATTTTAAGATTTTAAGGTCTTTTTTTCCAGCTGTGGGCTTACCCAGGTGGAGAAACACATCTGCATCGGGATTTTCCATCCCCAGGATGTAATGCCGAGGTGGCCCTTGAAGGCTGGGCCATCCTCCCGAAGCACCTAACAGTGATTTTTGTCGGGTCTGGGCTCAAGCAAGAGCTAGACATGGGCTGTGAGCATCCCTCCCACCAGCCCGTATGAAAGACCATTGTTGGTTCGCATGCTTATGAGAAGACAAACTGCAGGGCACGACGAGGCCACACACGGAGGTTTGCCCGCCATCTTACCAGCAGGGAGCAGATGTGGTCTCGCCTTGGGTGGGCGAAGGATTTGCTCCTATTTTACTGGACACAGTCTCCTGCGGGGAAAGGAGCCACCCCAAAGGCAACCTCCTGGGGACAGCAGCCCACCATAAGGAGACTGGGGCCGGAGGGACCCGGAGTGTGGTTGAGCCACCTCATCCAGACATCTGCCTCAGGGTGGAGATGCTCCATCCTGGAGAGATCTCCTCTGGAGATCCTCCCCTCTTTCCAACAGCCAGAGAAGAGGCTGAGAATAAACAAAAAGGAGGTGGGTTGTCCTTCAGTGGGCCGCAGACGTGTGCACCTCCTTGCCAAAGGATATTGGGGTGCAACAGATTCACCCGAGTACCCCGGGACTGGATGAAACCCTCCGTAGTGGGTTACTAAAGAGGCAAAGCACCATAGGTTCAAGGAATATCCTCTGTAGCATGTCTGTTTGATTCACACCTTCTCCAGACCCCCCGTCCTCCCCAAATCCATCCCCAAACCATCCACATCTCGCCGCAGCGCCCGCAACTGCGTCAGCTGCCTCCGTCCTCCCTGACAGATCCCCCGATCTGCAATATTTTTCCATGACGGAGAGCTATTCTGAGATACTTTATGGCCCAAACCGGAGCTATGATTCCCACTTTAAAGGCTCTTTCATCTTCATTAGGCCAATCTGAGCAGTTTATGTTTATAAGGAAGATGTGAAATCTGTTTAGGAAACCTCATTGAGCAGAGCGGCTGCAGGTGAGGGGCTGAGATGAAGCATCCTCTGCTGTGGCTTCGGCAGCCCGCGCTGGATGCCTCTGCGCTCGCCGCCCCTTGCAGCCGGTGCTTTCAGACCTCCCTCCCGGAGACAACCGCAGCCGGAGCTCGCCCTCCCCGCTCCCGGTGCCGGGGAGCACGGCATCTCCCGGCGACATTGGTGGGGGGCTGTTCCCGGTGTAACAGCAGGATACTCGTTATATTTTATTACAGAGCTTATGTATCTTTTTTTTTCCAAAGAGAGTCCAGTGTGTAAATGATTAGTGGATGCAGCCGGCTCCCCGGCAGATGAATGGGAGTGGTGGGAAGCCAAGACAACAAGAAAAGGACCCTCCAGTGGGGAGAAAATCCCATTAGGAGGAACCTCTTCTATCTTCTCCCTGAGCAGGGGAGACCTGAGGACCATCCAGGACCATATAATTACACTGCACACGTGCTCGCGAGAGCAGCATCCTCCAGCCCCTGGCTCTGAGCCCGGCCAGCAGCAAGGCATGCCCCCAGGGCTCTGCTCCAGCAAACTGCCCAGCCCTGGAGACCTCACTTTAGGGGTACCTTGAATGAGATCTGGTGGCTTCCTCACGACCCTGTCCCCCGTAAGAGCCACATGCTCAGGATGTGCAGCCCTTTCCCGGCAGGGCTGGACGCGG